CTGTGGCTCAGGAGGCCTGGTAAAGTGACAGAGAGTGTCAGAGCACAGAGTGGCACGAGTGCCTGGTAAGTCTCTCGCTGGCAGGTACTGATGAGCATCTGGAACACAGAGCTGGCAGGACTGGATCCCACAGGCTGAAGGACAGGAGCCAGGGAAGAGTGCAGGCTTGCTTGGCACAGGAGTAGGATGGCAGCAAGATGTGGTCAGACAGTCCAGGTCGGCAACTGGTGGGCAGATCAGGTTCTGACGGCAGGCAGGAGAGTTATCAGGAGAAAGGCCAAGGTCGATAATAGCAGGACAGTTAAACAGAAAGAGCAGACAGAGCGTAGTCAAACAGTTCAAACAGAGTCAGAGGCGGATCAAGTCGGCAACAGAAGATCAATCAGAAACTGATAAAAGGAACACTGGAAACGTAATAGACCAAACAGCACTGATACACTGCACTAGTGCAGTTTAAATTGCCCTCCTGGCACCAGTGCATGCTTACACACGCGCATAAGTCCATGCATATGTACGCACATTCATTCACTCCTGCACATTCATTCATGCACACGCACCCGCAATCTGATTCCTCAATCCTAGGTGTCTGTGCACATGGATATTCCTTTCCTGATGCTTCCCTATCTAGAATTAAAAGAGAAAAATGTATTTACCTTTAGGTCTACTGTTTTAGCTTTTCCTTCAGTTTGACATTTCACAAACATTTTATTTTTGCTGTTATAAATATTGCTAATGATTTTGATCATTTGACAAATCCTGATTGGCTTGACTCTTGCAAATTGTTGCACAATTTATTTGAACACCTGTATACTTCCCATGGATGTTAAACCTCTTCTGTATGAAAGCTGATGTAAAGGCAGACAATATTTTTTTCTTGTGCTGTATGTAGTGGAGGAATTAATCAAAACAGGTAACTGGAGCAGACAGAATCTAGAGCAGCTGTGCACTGGAACCAATCACACTGGACAACAAATATTTTGCTTCCTGAACAGTGTTTGGTGTATTTGACAGATTTCTGGCTGCTAATCCTGTAATGTAATCTATCACTTCCATTTGATAGAAATCTATTTTTGTGTAGCACCCTCCTAGGTTGCTTGCTAGTATGCACGATCTCCTGCCTAAAGGATAAATTCACCTTTGGGAACATGTTCCACTCGTTTTTAGGTTGGAACATGTAACATGTTTCCAGTGCTGCAGAAGAGCAACTGTCCACTAAAGTTCTGCATTTCTACAGAGGGACTTTGCTCCATTTCTTCTACAGCTTGCTACACAGCTATTTAGAGAAAGCTGTCCTTATTTGAGCATAGTTTGATTTGGAGCATCCCACTAATAAAAAAAAAAAACTATTGGCTATGCTGTATGCATCCTTACAGGATGTCTCCAACTTACAAGCCGACCTCAATGCTCTGTTTAATTGGGCAACTATGTGGGAAATGAGGTTTAATGTTGATAAATGTAAGGTAATGCACTTGGGGGCTAAGAATATGCATGCATCATACATACTAGGGGGAGTACAACTAGGGGAATCAATGGTGGAGAAGGATCTGGGAGCTCTGGTAGATCACAAGCTTAATAATGGCATGCAATGCCAAGCTGCAGTTTTTAAAGCGAGCAAAATCCTCTCTTGTATTAAAAGAGGTATAGACTCCAGAGAGAGAGATATCATATTACCCCTGTACAAATCATTAGGATCACCTCATCTGGAATATGCAGTTCAGTTTTATTTTTTAACAAAAATATTTTTATTATAAGAAAAAAAAAAGGCATTCAAAGCATATACAGCTATGGATCACAATCTGAACATAGACATGGCATGTTGCCTCCCGTTTCGCAGACGGGCCATAATTTTAAACTGTAATACAGGGTATAACATTATATCAAGTATATATTGCAAACAAGCGGATACAAACAGTAAAGTAGATATGTCGATATAGATGTATTGTATCCTGACCTACATATTAGCAAGTTTTTATGTTAAGGGAGTGTGGAGTGTTGGAGTAAGGATAGCGCCGGATGCTGTGTATGTTATATCCTCGCCGGCTCTTCTCCACTTTCAACTCTCTACTCTCTCCACCCCCACCTCCACCCAGTACCTCACTCACCGCTCACGAGATTGCTAACCACTTCCAAAGCAAGATCGACGCAATTTGTAGGGACATCACCACTGCCCAGACTTCCACCGCACCTAGCATCCCTCACACGAAAACCCCCTCAACACTCCTTTCTTTGGACCTCGCCACTGTCCAGACCTCCTCCCCGCCCAACATTCCTCACACTAAAACCCCCTCAACACTCCACTCCTTCGACAATGCTACCACCGAAGAGGTCACTAAGGTCTTCTCTGAAGCTCGCCTTACCACCTGCCCCCTTGACTCTGTCCCCACACAACTCCTACAATCACCCTCCTCCTCCATCCTACGCTCCCCTCACTCACATCTTTAATCTGTCCCTCTCTAATGGCGCATTTCCCCTCCCCTCTGAAGCACACGCACATCACTCCCATACTTAAAAAACCCTCCCTGGATCCCAACGACCTAAACAACCTTAGACCCATCTCCCTGCTGCCATTTACATCCAAACTCCTTGAGCGCTTAGCCTATAATCGCCTGAGTTCCCACCTCAACGACAACAAACTCCTCGATCCCCTACAGTCTGGCTATCGTCCCTACACTCCACCGAAACCGCCCTACTCAAACTCACCAACGACCTGCTAACTGCCAGAGCCAATGGCCACTACTCAGTGCTCCTACTCCTCGACCTCTGTGCGGCTTTCGACACAGTCGACCACCCCCTCCTCTTCAAAAAACTATACTCTTTTGGCCTCAGAGATTCCGCTCTCTCCTGGCTCTCTTCCTATCTATCACAGCGCTCCTTCAGTGTTACCTATAATGCTGCCACCCCCCCCTCTCTGTTGGGGTCCCCCAAGGTTCTGTCCCTCGGGCCCCTTTTCTTTTCCATCTACACCTCCTCCCTTGTCAACTGATACACTCCCACGGCTTCAACTACCATCTCTATGGCGATGACTCTCAAATCTATTTCTCTACCCCTCGCCCTTCAGTCTCTGCCGAATCACTAGCCTTCTGAACGACATATCAGACTGGATGTCACTCCACTTCAGGGGCGGACTGACCATTTGGAAACTCGGGCACTGCCCGAGGGTCCGGGGTCAGTTGGGGGCCCCATGAGATGCCCCTGGTACCTTTTTCATAGGCTTTTTTGAGTTTGGGCAAGGACACAGGGGCCCCATGATCCCCTATTGCCCGGGGGCCCCATGAGTTGTCAGTCCGCCCCTGCTCCACTTCCTCAAATTAAACCTTGCCAAACCGAGCTCCTAGTTTTCCTCCCAGCCTGCGCCCCCCCCCCCCCGACCTCTCCATCACTTCCAATAAAGCCACCATCAGCCCCACCCCGCAAGCCAAAGTACTAGGTGTCATCCTAGACTCCAATCTGTCCTTTCCATCCCCAGGTCCAATCGCTGACAAATTCATGCAGACTCCATCTTCGCAACATCTCCAAAATCAACGTCCGGGTTTCCAACTCCCAAAACTACGGAAAGCAACTCATTCTCATTGCATAAAGGCTGTAAAAGCATTTCTCCTTCTCTCTGGCTGCATTCTTGCGGCCATTGAGCAATGCTGTGTGAGCTGTGATTGGCTACAGCTTGTCTCTTGGGTACAAGGCTGTTCGTGATTAATAGCCTTGTACCATGTGACCACCTGTGATCATTCACAGATCTTCACATGTAGTAAGCAAACAATGTCAGAAGTGACTTCTTGCTTACTACTCTGCATGTGATCACTGATGTGGCCAATCAGTGTGATCACATTGATCGAGACCTCGCACAGAGGTAGCCGTTACAACGATCGTGTTCCACTGTGTCCGGAGAACACAGCGGGCACTGGATCTCGGTGCCCACACATCCCAGGGAGCGGGCACAGCTGGAAAATGCGGGCTACCGTTTATGAACGGCAACCCGACCCTGGACTGCCACGCCATCCGGCCGTTTATATACAGTGGCCGGATGGCAAGTCGTTAATGGTTTGTGGAACTGGATGGACTTTTGTCTTTTTTCAGCCAGACTAACTATGTAAATATATATGCATGAAAGAAACATCCAGAAGGAACATGGTATAACTATTGTTTGAAGTACATCCAGTACAACACCAAGTGCAACATGAAATATCTTTGGAGATCTAAAAGTAGTGGCTCTGCTGTTTGAAAATGCAGCTTGGATATTCAAAGTACTGTGGTTACAATATTGTGAATAGAACAGCTGTGCAAGATAGTTCGCATTACCCTTATGAAGAGGATGGAATTTGGTTCAGAACAGAAAAACAAGGAACATGAAACACACTTATTGACTTAAACAAAGATGATTTGCCTCCATGTCGCATAAAAACCCAGAATGATGGACAAAATCTACACCAAAGCAATAAAAAAGGTAGTAGAAGGTTTTCATTATTTAAGACAAGATGATTCCATAAAAGCAACAGAAATAAGATGCCCAAAAATTATTATTTTAGATTTTAAATTCATCAAGCATTTTTTTTGTTGGTCCCAAGTACCTCAAAAGACTCAGCCTCTCTGAGAGTGAATGAGTATAAAATCTCGCTTGGTGGTGTACCTTTATTGCATTTAAAAGGATCACAATATGTGAGGTATCCTGGGCAAGGTGGAGGACCCGTTTGCTAGCCTTCGATGTAACGATGTAGGGCAGAGAGAGCTCTTGTATGCTCTGTGGTGAAACTTGAGACCGCAGCGGTCCTGAACTGATGATACCGCGATCTCGGAGGAAGCGGAAGGGAGGATCCTGCCTTGGAACGCAAAGCCGGAGGTGCAGGGCGGTTAATCTAGACTAGAGATGACGGGAGCAGAATTATTCAAAAATTCGATTCGGCTGATTCGCCAAATTCGCGGAATAAAATTCGATTCGAGGCGAATATATTCGCGCTGCGAATTTAACTTATAAAAAGGGTGTTTCTAGGCTTTCAGAGAGCCTTTTATAATTAGTGCAGAACACTGTACCTTTAATTTAAATGCCCTTGGAGTCTGCTGGGGCAAGAAGAACTAATACTGTCAGTCCAGTTTATGTCATGCAGATGAGTGCCCGTCGATCTTAGAATCACCGCACCACTTTCATCTCGCGCTCATTTGGGCAGTCACGGGGCCAAAAACCAGAGTGTGGAGCCACAGTGTGGCGGTGGAGGCAAGCAGCAATGGGCAGGCCATACAGCACCCATATGACAAAATGGACAAACCACCGCAGCAGTGATGAGGAGACCTGAAAGTGGCACATGGCAGAGTTGTGGCGATGGAGACAAGCAGCAGCTATTGGGAGGAGCCGTACAGGGACCCATGACACACTTTGGACCTCTAGGGCAGCAGCAATGAGGATGGTACAGGGGCCCATGACAGATTACGGCCTGGCAGCAGCAGTGGGCCGGGCGGTGGATGCAGCAGTGATTCGGAAGCCAAACACAGGGCGCTCAGTTAAAAAGCGGAAGCCGTCAGCAGCGTGAGCAGCGTGAGCAGACGACAGATGGCACATGGCGCAGATGGGTGGCGGTGGAGGCAGCAGTATTCGGAAGCCATACACAGGCCTAGGTTAAAAAGCGGAAGCCGTCAGCAGGGTGAGCAGACGACAGAGACACATGGCGCAGGGTGGCGGTGGATGCAGCAGTCTTTCGGAAGACGCAAACACAGGCCTCGGTTAAAAAGCGGAAGCCGTCAGCAGCGTGAGCAGACGACAGAGGCACACATGGCGCAGGATGGGTGGCGGTGGAGGCAGCAGCAAAGGAAGGCCATATGACAGCACCCTATCACAAAATGGAACCCACACAACAGTGTAAGGAGAACCTGAAAAGTGGCACATGGGCAGAGTCCTGGCGATGAAGTCAGCAGCAAGTGGGAGTCCGTACAGTGGACCCATGACACACTCTGGACCTGGCAGCAGCAAAGAGGAGGAGGTACAGGGGCCCCATGGGCAGAGTGGCGAGCGTAAGCAGCTTAAATTGAAGGCCATACAGAGGCCTATGTTAAAAATAATAACATGTTTGGGGCATGATTCATGGCGGATTTAGTCAGTTGTGTCAGGAACTGGTGTGTTTGAAATCCAGACTAATCCACCGCCTGATTCGCATTTTCACAAACGTGAGTCTCTCCACACTTTGGGTTGGACAGTCGTGTCCTCCGCGGAGTATTCAAGTACCTCCTGCCGCATCTAAAGTCACCAGATCGCTGCAGACGCGATGCCACGCTACTCGGCTTGGGCATGTTGCCGCCTGCTTCAAGGGCCATGAAATTCAGCTAGTTGGGGCCAAAGGTCAAGTTTCGTTGCCCAGTAGTAAGGGGGTTGTGTCTACCTCGGGTTGGCAGGGTGCTGTCCAAGTAGGCCCGAGCCTTGTTGTTTGAGGGTCCTGTCCAGGTCCACACTGATGCGCTGACTGCTGCTGACGGCTGGTTAGTAGTTTCTATCACTAGGCGCTTGTGAAAGAAAGCTACTACATCATCGATCTCTTGCAGACTGAGGCAGCCGCTGCTGGTGGAGCTTAGCGAGACTGACTACTACCAGTCACCCACCCCTGAGGCCCTGCTGCCATGGCAGATCGGAACGACGCTCGGGAGCGCCACAGGGCCACTCACGTGTCGCTGAGGATGGACCGTTGGCGCAGAAAGGCAGTGACGGAATGGACTACATAGGTGCGTTTTTATAGTACTTTTATGATTGGCACTCCCTGCTCATCTGGCAAGGTGCGTGAAAAAGGCCGACCATTTTTTGAACAGTGGGAACGGGAGGGATTCCCAAAAAAGGTGGACAGCCCAAAAGTCATCCCTCGTTGGAGTGGTTATGGTGATGTCCCATCGAGCTGTAGCTGATGCTGAAGCAAACCAATGGGGTTTTTCTAACAATCAGCGTTACACTATAGAGTAGATGCCATCCACAGGGTGCAGAGCTTACGGTGTATTTACAATATATATGTGCTCTCGGAACTGCGTGGGTATCCTACCCTGCCTAAAGAGGAAGTGGGTACCTGAGGGAGTGAGCTACTCGATGAATAATTACATGCCACGCGTGCCGTCATGGGCTCCACTCTGTCTAGAGAAGATCCATGAGAAAATCTCTCCTAAATACCAGATTAATATCCTGGCTCTCTCCACTCATGTCCTGCTGAGTGGAAAAACCACCCATTTCAATCAATAATTCCTGCAGCACCAATGTCGCCTCCTCTACCTCCCTCCTAAAAGATTCCTGTCATGCCCTCCACAGGGGTCCATATGTGGCGTTGAGATGAGATCTGTGCGCCACGTATACCGCACCACCCTGACCCAGCCAATTGGTTAACAGCATTTGTTCCAGGAACGTGCAACAGAGGGAATGACTGTCGTTTATCCCATAGTCCTGCCGACTCTCGAATAGCGTGCCTCCTCAAAGGGCTGTGCAAGCGGCAGCCCAGGTGTTCACGGCATGAGCTGCCAAAGGCTGACCATCTAAGTTACACAGGGAGTAACTTTTATCCCGCTGTTGTAACATCAGGAAATCTGGTGATGGCCTTTCGCTGTTCGTAAAGGCGGTCCTAACATATGTAGGGTTGAATTCCACCTTGTTGCAACGTCGCAGATCAGGCGATGCTGTGGAATTCGCGTTCTGCCGCTGCAGCTCAAGGAGGGTGTGCTTTGCGGTGTAGGAATGGCTGAAATGCATGCAAAGTTTACGTGACATTTTTAAGGATGTCTTTGCAGTGGGATGGGTGGATTTTTAGGACCGCTTGTGGACAACCAGATTGAAACACAGGTGAGCCATGCATGGCGCATGGCAGAAAAACAACCTTCCTTGACGCAGAGCAGGGACACTATGTTTCTTTCCGTTGTCGGTCAAACATGGTTCCGATTTTCAGTTTGCGCAGGAGGGAGACAGCCATCTGTCGAGATTTCTCTGTTCATTACACTTCAGAAGTTCCTCCCCTGTGTGACTACGTTCGCCAAGGCATACCAGGTGCAGCCACAGCGTGACACCGTTGCGCCCTGCACATTGGTGATATGGAGCCGGTCGGGTAATGGGGACTTGGCACGGGGGTGGCGGCTGAGGACACGGCGGAAGAGAGGTGGTATGAGGCGGACATCTTTGCTGGACCAAGGACGTGCAAACGTGGAGGCAACAGCGGCGATGGACCTGTCCAAAGTTGCTGGTGCGGCTGTGCCGGCACCACGATTCACCAGTGGGCCGTAAATGACATGTACTGTGCCTGACCGTAGTTACCAAGTACAGCTCGCACACAGGGGCTCGTCGGCGCTGCCGTGCACTTTGCAGAGACCGACACTTGCTCAAAGACTGGCCCACCATCTCTCTTCTACATGTGAATGCAGGGCTGGCCACTGCCTTTTTTTTGAGCGAAGAAATGCCGGCTTTGGCACTCTCCACCGCGGCTCGGCACAAGCCATCATTTCTCGGAAAGGTGCTGAGTCCACCACTTGGGAAAGGGGGGACTGCAGCACCAGCAACTTGGACAGGAGGGACGTTTCAGCTTCTGTGCACCAGTCGGGTGCGTGCTCGCAAACTGTTGTTGTCTCTTGGAAACGGATACCAAGAAAGACTGCTGACGGAATCCTTGAAGAGGAGTAGCAGGAGAAGGAGCTGCTGAACGCGAGCGGAAAGATGCCTAACGAGCGACAACTCCCCTCAGCAGAGGTGGTTGGAGCCTTGACTGGCTGATAGAGGGCGATTGAGTCGTCGGGTGACGGAGCAAGTATAACGGAGCGCGGTGATGGAGCGGGGGCTGGGCACAGGCAGGCATAAACCGCCGTATCTTTATCACGGTTTTCCCAAGGCCAGCGAATGGCAACGCTGCATATGCTGCACGCAACGCTGTAGTCCCAACATGGGCCCCCTGGCCACGCTTGACTTTTCTGGCCACATAGTCGACATTACGGGCTTACGTTTACTTCCTCGGGCGGCTTGACGAAAAAATGCCACACCGCCGAGTAGGAAAACTTTGCCCCCCGCTACTCCTCACTGGCTGACTTGCTACTTCCTCCGTGCCCACCCACACCGCTCCCACTACTGGCCGTGGGGGGTAGGCTGCAGTGGAGCTGGTGCTCTACTCCGTGGCCGTTTTGGCTCCACCTGACACTGCTGCGACCCTGCTGGCCTCCTGGGCAACCCACCGACTGTTTTGCTCGCTGGCAAGCTGGCACCCTCTTCTCCTGATGATGCGGAAGCAATAGCCTGATGACGACGAGGCATTGCCAGTGCGATCAGCCTCATCATCATTCAATTAGGGTCTCCGCGTCACTACTAGCCCCCTCGGCTGCGTGTGGGTCAGGAGACAGACCTGTCTCTAGAACCGGCTACTGAGCCACTCTCCTCGCCAGTACTTCTTCGCCTGGCTGCTGAAGAGGCGGATGTCTCCCCCCGTTTCCTGACCGCCCTCTGTTAGCTCTTCCTCACTGTACAGTGGGGCTGAGCCCACAGCATGCGATACTTTCCCCCCCCCCCTTGGTGAGGGAACACCAAAGGGACAGGGGCAGGTAGAGGACACGTGATTTCAGTGGGCTTGCTCCCGGGCCATGCCAACTAACGGTTGTGTCTGACGTACCCAACCGGACCGTTGGCTGTAGGTGTCAGAGGTGACCTGGGAAGAGGAAGAGACGACCGAGTCAACCAATCGATGACGGCAGGGTTGTCGGTGGAGACGCGACCGCTGGATGACACCGGGAGCACTGGCCTCTGGCTGCGACTAGTGCTGCCTCGACCCCTTCCTCTGCTGCCACGTCTGCTCGCTCCTGAAACATTGCCTCCTCTGCCACTCCTCTGCGTGTTGTCTGACATACTCTTTAATTCAATAAGCACCCCAAACAAAAAAACAGGATTTAACTCTTTGAACGTACAATAGTGGTTGTGAAGCAGAAAGTAACGATTCTGTGTCCCGAGTAACAATTCTGTGTCCCTGAGTAACGATTCTGTGTCCCTGAGTAACGATTCTGTGTCCCTCAGTAACAATTCTGTGTCCCTGAGTAACAATTCTGTGTCCCTGAGTAACGATTCTGTGTCCCTCAGTAACAATTCTGTGTCCCTGAGTAACAATTCTGTGTCCCTGAGTAAACAATTCTGTGTCCCTGAGTAACGATTCTGTGTCCCTGAGTAACGATTCTGTGTCCCTGAGTAACAATTCTGTGTCGTCCCTGAGTAACGATTCTGTGTCCCTGAGTAACGATTCTGTTTCCCTGAGTAACAATTCTGTGTCCCTGAGTAACAATTCTGTGTCCCTGAGTAACGATTCTGTGTCCCTGAGTAACAATTCTGTGTCTGTCCCTGAGTAACGATTCTGTGTCCCTGAGTAACAATTCTGTGTCCCTGAGTAACGATTTCTGTGTCCCTGAGTAACGATTCTGTGTCCCTGAGTAACGATTCTGTGTCTGTCCCTGAGTAACGATTCTGTGTCCCTGAGTAACGATTCTGTGTCCTGAGTAACAATTCTGTGTCCCTGAGTAACGATTCTGTGTCCCCTGAGTAACAATTCTGTGTCCCTGAGTAACAATTCTGTGTCCCTTAGTAACGATTCTGTGTCCCTGAGTAACAATTCTGTGTCCCTGAGTAACAATTCTGTGTCCCTCAGTAACGATTCTGTGTCCCTCAGTAACAATTCTGTGTCCCTGAGTAACAATTCTGTGTCCCTGAGTAACAATTCTGTGTCCCTCAGTAACGATTCTGTGTCCCTCAGTAACGATTCTGTGTCCCTGAGCAAACGATTCTGTGTCCCTGAGTAATGATTCTGTGTCCCTGAGTAACGATTCTGTGTCCCTCAGTAACGATTCTGTGTCCCTGAGTAACAATTCTGTGTCCCTGAGTAACAACTCTGCGTCCCTGAGTTGAAACGATTCTGTGTCCCTGAGTAACAATTCTGTGTCCCTGAGTAAACGATTCTGTGTCCCCTGGGAGAGTCCTGAGTGTCCTGGAGTAACGATTTCTGTGTCCCTGAG